ACTGTCAATTATTCATTCACACACATTCCTTCCGGTGGTGGTAGGTACAATTGTAGCCACAGTTGCCCTGGGGCAGACTGACAGAGGCGTGGCTGCCATTCTGCCCCTCTGACCACCACCTCAAACAATCCATTCACACGCCTTCACACCAGTCAAGGTGGGTGACGTGTCTCGCCCAAGGACACGACGACCGCGACACAGGTCACAGGGTGGAATCGAACCACCGACCGCCGCTCTGTTCTGCATTTGTTCTGTTTCTGTGCATTACCAGGTACTGAGTAAAATAAAATAAAATGACATGTTTGACCACCAACTCTCTACCAGTGACTATGAATGCAATTCAAACTGATTATTTCCTAAATGTCGTTCTAATTAGTCATGATTTTGCTTATAGGTATCTTTAACATTCCTACAAAATAAACTAATTTCAAGAATTTTGTCAAAATGAAGTAATATACATCTTAGAAACATTTTTATGTCCTAAATTTTTGTTAAAAAAAAAAAAAAAGAATGAATAACAATATTAAATTTAAAAAATCACATGTAATATATAATACTATTTTAATAACAGTAAGGAATTAAAGGTGTCCTCAGTTTAAATTGGGATCCTGCAGAACTGAAAATATCTTATCTTACATTTATATCTGAATTCCAAGTTGTGTTCATATTTGGTTTCATTTGAATCTAATCTGTATATCAAAATAAAGTGAGATCTGGGAACCAAAGCCAAACATCTGAAAATGTGCCATCACAACAGAATACAGAATATTTGTTTCTTTAACATTCTATAGCGCCTTGAAATTCCCCGGACTTACTGCAGGTGAACCTGACCCTCATCACCACCACATCGATTCACAGACCTTCACAAAATGTACTTTGGCAAAATACTGAGTTTGAGGGCAGGTGAACCTAACCCGGGTTCACAGCATGACTTTTTGTTGGCCGCTACTTTCTGAGTACGTTTGCCAACTAGTTTTATGTGTTTTCTCACTCATTTGAGGAAAATGTGCTCAAAGACATTGCAACAGTGCCAATTTGCTTGAAATAGTCATATTTTAATGCCCGAATGAATTAATAATCTAAACCTAATCTAAACCCAGCTGCAGAGGCTGTCATAGATTTTTGATCTGCTGCTGTAATCATCTTGTTGGCTGAGGCTTTGCACTCATCAAGCCTGATGGGGAATGGCCAACTGAAGGGGCGGGAGGGAGTGTAGTGGAAGTAAACAGATTCGCTGTGTTATAAAAGTAGGTGCACATCTGAAGCTTCCTTACAGCACCTAGTGAGCTCCTCAGATCACTTGTTGTTGTGAAGATGAAGTGCCCTGCTGTTTGCCTTGTGGCGCTGGCCTTGCTTGGCAGCTTGTGCGATGCTCAGTGGCAAAATTACAAGCCCTCGCCACCTAAACCACCAAGGCAGGAGATTAAGAAACCTGTAGAGAACCCACAGATAAAGCAGACATTTGAAAAACCCCTTACCTGGACATACCCTGAAGACCCTCAACCTCCGGAGAAAGTTGAGGTGCCATTCGAGCTGAGATTTCCTGTTCCTGCCGCGACTGTTGCTGTTGAGTGCAGAGAGAGTGAGGCTCATGTGGAAGTCAAGAAGGATATGTTTGGGATTGGCCAGTTTATCAATCCGGCTGACCTAACCCTGGGAACCTGTAGTGCTGTCGCAGAGGATAACGTCGCCCATGTGCTGATTTATGAATCGGCACTCCAAGCTTGTGGGAGCACATTAGTGGTAAGCACAATGCGAAATGCCAGTCAGTGAAAAATCTACATTGTGGAGAATATTAAATATGTTCACGTGTGATTCTCTTTGCGTGTCTTCACTAGTTGACAGAGGAGTCCCTAGTCTACACCTTCACCCTGAACTACAACCCCCAGCCTGTGGGCAGTTCTCCCGTGGTGAGGACAAGCAAAGCTGCTGTAATTGTGGAATGCCACTACCCAAGGTGTGTAGACTGTCAACAAGATGTGTATCAGTGAACCAGCAAAATGTAAAAATGATAAAAATAACATCTAGATATGTAACTTAATCTGTTGCGTTTTATGTAAGCAAATCCAGATTCCACCGATGAGTACATATGATAACATACTGTTCTAATGCTAGCTGCACATCATTCTGAGGATTGCTTTAGTTTTATGCATTTTAAGGAAACCTGTTTAATCGCTTAGAAAGCACAACGTGAGCAGCCTTCCCCTTAATCCCGTCTGGGTCCCCTTCTCTGCGGTCAAAGTGTCAGAGGAATTCTTATACTTCACCATGAAACTCATGACTGGTAAGTTTAAGCAGCACATGTTCACTTTTATGTTACTGTGATTAAAAATACATATGTGTGTGCATATATATATTTGCAAACATTGTTAAAATATTCTATCTTATTGCACAGACGACTGGCTCTATGAGAGGCCAAGCTACCAATATTTCCTGGGAGACCTGATTAATATTGAGGTTATCGTCCAGCAGTACTTCCACGTACCCCTCCGTGTTTATGTGGACCACTGTGTCGCTACTCTTTCGTCTGACCCGGCCAGCAGCCCCAGATACGCCTTCATTGAGAACAATGGGTAAAGTAGTTTCATGAGTAGTTCTGTACAACGAGAAAAGATCAAAAACATTTACACTGATCTCTAACGTGTGTGTTTTTCTCGCGTGCAGCTGTTTGGTTGATGCCAGAATCACAGGCTCCTCTTCGAGGTTCCAGGCTCGCACTGCAGAGAACAAGTTGTGTTTCCAGTTGGAGGCCTTCAGATTCCAGGGTGCTGACAGCGGATTGGTACGCATCTCCAAGAACTGAGTTAATTTTCTTATAATTTTGCCTCCTTTTCACCACTAATGCTGCAGACTTACATCTAATAATATCCCAACCGCTCTGTTATTCCGACAGCTCTATCTTACCTGCCACTTGAAAGCAACGTCTTCCTCCAATAGCATTGACAGCAGCCACAGAGCATGTTCCTACATCGCCGGGTGAGTCTGCGCGTACTCATGTGTGTTGACGATAATGATTTCAGAGGTGGTTTGGTATTTACTGCCTACATTTCCCTTCTCTGCCTAGGTGGAAAGAGGCCAGCGGCATTGATACAGCTTGTGCCTCCTGTGAGACTGGTGACTTTGGAGCTTCCAATTCAGGAGTTGTATCTGGTACCTCATCCAATCCTGGAAGGAAGATTCGTGATGTGTCCAAAGCTCAGGCTGAAAGTACGTCATATGAAAATCAATTGTCTAAAGTGTTTGATATCATATTGTTCACATATTACAGCATTTTTAATACATTTCAGAGTAAATGTCATTCTGCAAATCCCATATGGACGAGCTGCTTCTTACTGTTAGACAACCTCACCCTGCTATATTATAACATTCTGTTTCCCTCTCTCAGTTGTCGAGTGGGAAGGTGACGTCAGAATGGGTCCCCTCACCGTTGCAGAGAAGCCGATCGTTTAACGCAATTTCCGGTCACGGCCAAAACCATCAAAATAAACAGAATTATTGCTTCATCACTGTCCTTATGTTATTTTCTTGTTTCTTGTTGGTGCTTCTGCTCAAACAAGAAATGAAAACCCATTTGCTTCTTTAAATGTGGTCAAAATTTGAAATATCAAAAAACACACTAAAACTGTAAGAAGTCAGAAAGTCCCCCCCGTGCAAAAGTGTAACTCATCTTACATTCCCTTGTGTGTTGTGAGAAAATGTTAGACATGGACCCCAGCTTTCCGTTGCATCAGTTGTAACTCGTGATGGAAATAAAAAACGCAGTTGTTTAAAATTCTTGTGTCATTCACTGGGAACTTTTCCCTATTTTCTTCCCAAGCTAATAATAAATAAACACAGAGAAATAAAATAGACTATGATGAATAAAATGAATACTGCACCAAGCTGAAGAATAGATAAATTAACAACAACAACCCAAAAAACAGCCTCAATCTGTCTCCTTGATGCAAAACTTTAAACTTGCTGCGTTGACAACATGCAGTCTGGGGAAAAAAATTTTAAAAAACAAGCAGAACTGAGTCAACATGGGTTTTATGTCCCATGTCATTCCAGATTGCTGCTGACTGTAACAGAAAAATGTGTGACTCCTAACAAATACATGCAGTGCACTCACTGAGTATTTACCGTCCTCGTGTGGCTCATGAGGCAAACTGCAGCTGAGCAAGGTGCACAGTTTCAGGACCACAGGCAGTGAACAGCTCCCCACTGCGCCTGCGCAGTAAAGCCGGCTATCTATTGAGAATCTGCATGTTCCAGTGTTAAACGAAAGCAACAGAACAATAACTCAGCGTCAACTTACAGCTCGCCTTTATTTCATGTATTTTCTAGGAAGACACCGTTTCTGTCACCTGGTGAAGAAAGCCTGAGGTGTTTTGTTTATTAAGCCTTTGGTTAATTAATACTGCAGGTCATTTTGTAAAGGCCCGGTCTGACCTCACTCCATAGGCACCCAGCAGGGGTGAATTGATGCCTTATGATTGTCTGTGAAATAGTGTAGATGTATTTTGTCACTGGGGTCACAGGTATTGTTTATTGAGTCAAATGTATGTTGGGGGCGTGGCTTTGCATGAACCTCTATTTAGGTGAGTGCAGTGTACGCGCGCGGTGGCACGTAGTGGGATGACGACACACGCCAACTTGGAGGTTTCCCGGAGTTACCTGGCCGCGGAGTATGGGTTTTTGCTTGTTGGAACTTTTTGGAATACCTAAGGAGTTGCCGAGGACCGGAGCCGTCATTCAAAGGAGGGCTGATGCGCAGAGCCGTGAGTTGGTCCAGCTGTTGATGGCATCGGCCACCTGCCACGAGTACTGTGGCGTGCATTTGTTTGCGGCCTTGCAGAGCCGTGCAGGTGGTGGCTGAACTATATATATGAAGCCGGACGGGCCATGAGCTGTTTGCTGAACTTAAAGAACTGTTTTTCAGCCGTGTCGTTTTTGCTATGTTGTGTCTGGGGATGCGCTTGTGTATGTGAGCGGGGGGGTAAAAAAGTAAAGTGTGTAAAGTAAAAAGCTGTGCTCTGAGCCAAAACAAATGTATGAGAGTGTCTGATTTTCACCCCTGCTGAGGCATAGATCCGCCCGTCTCCTTTATATAGAGCGTTGTGACACTGTCACCTCGGAATTAATAGGTGAACTGTTACAATTTAGAGTCTAAAATATATAAAAAATTAAAATCAGCAAAACCTACTTTCACGTGCTCTTACACTTTGCATTCTATCAAATAGTTGCAGGAAATTGTAGGAAAGCCAATGGGAGTTACTGCTACTAAACTGACTGACTACTAAATTGATTATTATTATTGTTGGGTTTAGTTGCAGAAAACACACTTTATACTCATCTGTTTTACACGCAGAGCAATTATGTGCAATTTAGGTGCTACCCTGAAGATTTTTCTCTTTGTATGTCATTTTATTTGCACTTCTTTGTGTCCTAAGAATCTGCAGGTTATGATGTATTTTCCATCCTGTCTGTCTTTAAGCTCTATTGCTCTGCTTCTCGGTTGATTTCCTGTTGCACTGAGCTGCACATTCTCCTCTCAGTCTCTCTGTCTTTTCATTGTTTTGTGTGTTCTTTATGGATCACATGGTCTGTGTGAGTGGCACAAGCAGGAGTCCATCTTATCCATATTTTAAAAGCGCAGGGACACAATATTGAAGTCTTTTCCGGGGAACCCTTGGATCTCACCACAGACCTCTGCTGGTCCTGCAATAAATCGCAATAAAATAAAAACTTTCACAGATTTATATATATTTTCTCCAGGACTGTTTTGCAGCTTTTCCAACCTGTAAGTCTTTGGCTGCATCCACTCAGGACTGCCTGCTCGCTCGGTAACGGCTCTGACGTTAGAGCTCCACACATCCCTCCTCCTCCTCCTCCTCCTCTTCCTCCTCCTCCTCCTCCTCTGTCTCTGCCTGTCTCCGCACTGCTGGCCCCCTATCTGTTGTGTGCCACAGGCAGCATCACAGCAGCAGACATTTGGCGAGCGAGACGCGGACTGCGGTCACCAAAACTGCGCTCTTCATGCTTCGTGTGGACATATCGAGGGGACGCAGGGATTTCCGCGGAGCCTGTCTCTGAAGATCCTTTTCTTACCCTGACAGCCTCCTCCCCCCCTCTCCCTTCAACACACACACACACACACACACAATCCTGTCCTGCTCGTGTGGATGGTTGACTGCAGATTTGATGGTGCTGAGCAGGCTCGTCTGATTGAAGGCTTGCGGCCAGGGAGGGCATCTGTCGGGGCCGCAGAGAGAGAGAAACCTCTGTCCACCACTGCGTCCGTGCTCTGCCCCGTGATTGTGAATGGACTGCGCTCCCTCCGTGATTTTCTGCAGTCGCTCTGAGTCATTTGTGGAAGAAGATGGCGGACAGGGCTGAGATGTTTTCCCTTTCCACTTTCCATTCCCTCTCTCCTCCTGGCTGCAGGTAAGAGCTTTACGCGTTAGGGTGACAGTGGAGGGGATGGCGGACGATGCGCACGGCTGATGAGAGGAGAAACGGGACAGTGGAGGCGAGGAGCGTAAACAGCAGTTTTTTTTGTTTTGATGACTGCAGTAAAAACGCACATTCCCAGCCTGGGTAGTAATAGATATTTCTGAATAACCTGCGAGGCCTGCTGCTGCTGCTGCTGCCTTTCCATGCGCGCCTATAGGTGCTGCAGCCCATCACTGCTGCTTGTTTATGTTTTGGAAGTGACGGCTGGATGGAGAAGACCAGCTCGAATAAAAGACAGGAGTTTTATTCTTTTCGGAGCAGTATAACGAGGGAGGATATGATCAAATGATTGATCCTCAGCTGTCGCGACAGTCACTGGCTTTGCGCATTCTCTGTGTGAGGCCCACGCCCTGTTGAGTCCAACCCAGGCAAGGGCATGTTGCCGAACAATGATTTACGGAAGTCCCAGTGATATTGATGTTGTTTCAAACGCCTCTAATGTGACCTCTGCGACAAATGTGCTCGCCTTTTCCTCCTGTCTAAGCACTATTGTGAGCGGGATTCTACTGGCACTTAGCAGGAATCGATAATTTGATGCAGAATCTGTGATACAGCTGATTACAGTGTTCTCTCCAAGGTTGTTTATGTCGAAAGGATGTGGTTTGGGCTTTCTGTAGTGCATGTGGATGTAAGTCAGGCCTGGTGAGATGGGGAATATTGCAACACTCTGGTGTGATTTGAATGAAATCATGTGGAGGGAGCTGCAATATTCAGATCTGCTTTTTCTCTGGATCTGGACTCATAGTTTGTGCTTTTATTTTACTGTGTTGCTACTTTCATTTGATTTCCATATGTAGCAATCACATGGGATCTGGTGCTGCTGCTGTGAGGCCTTCCTCTGTGTCATCAAACACAACAGCATCGATCTTGTAGGCAACAAAAACAACTATTTGTAATTGTATTGCTACTATAAGGTGATGAACTACTGTATACTATTGAGGAACTTTAACACAGAGTTGCAGAAGGAAAATGATTGTGATGTGTTCATGTATTTATCAGGACATCAGAGGCTTCCTGCCCTATAATACATATGATGCAACAGCATTTCATTGTCTGTGTGTTTGCCTCCACACGTCCTGTGTCCTACAGAAGCAATCACATTAACCCCCCTCCCTCCCACTCCCTGTGGATTTTATATCCACAACATGCACTCATGTGGGACTTAGTGTAGTTCAATCTCATGGATGGATCATATCAGATCAATATACCTGATTATATTTGCATGACTACCAGTGACCTTAGTTGAGATCACAGAGCCCAGCTCTTTCCATGACATCAATATTTTAAAGTTACAGCTTTGGCAAACAGCCAGATGGAGCTAATCTTAACTGTATGGCAGCAATAATGTGCAATAATCTTCCTTTATACACACTTTTGACCTAATTTTACATTGTGTCAGTGACTCCACATGCACTTAAAGTCTTTTGAGTGTACTTTTTAGCTATCGATAATAAAGTTAGACCACAGCAGATATGAAGAATAGCAGATTGTATCACTCCTATTATTTGAAATGGGCGAAGACTGATCCGTTTCATTGTGCTGTTTTCAGTAAGATTAAAGTGTACAGAAGTACATTCAGGAGTACAGAAGTAGTTTTGTGTTTATTTTGGGTCAGCTATTGATTTTCAGTTTTGAACTGATGACATACCAAAAAAAAAATCAGACTGATGAAATGCTGCAGCGTGGAGGATGTGGAAACAGGAGGCACATTTGCACATTTCATTATGTGCATCCTTTTTTCTCACCATTTCTGTGTATTTTGTTTGTGTGTGCTGCCTTTTTCTTCCTGTGCCTCTGTGTGTGACAGATTCATGGATGAAGCCACTGGTGGTGGTGATAGTGTGGTACGGTAATCTGCCTTACATAACCCTAGCACTGTTTCCAATGGGCAACATAATCCGTTGGGGGGGGGGGACCATCTTTCTCCCCTGAGCACCAGCATGACAGACGTTATGACAGACTATATTTTCTCTGACACCAAGTGAGCACTCTCGCCATCAAATATGTGCAAAAAACACACATGAATTATCTGGTTCACTAATTAACGGAGGCAACATTTCATTCAATTTATGTGACATGTCATTTTAATTGCTGAGAGAAGACCGTCGGAGTACATGGGAGAGGTCCGTAAGCCGTGAACTGAAAGGAGGTGATGGTGTTCAGTTTTGCTTCGTTTATCCCTTTATGGCCTCATCTTACTGAAATATGTAGAAATGAACTCCATCAAGACAGGCTGCGTTTTATTCATCAGTCCCGGTTGTTGTTTAGTGAAGGCTATGATGGCACATCCAAATATGAAAACTCTTAAGAACGCTTCAAATGGACCGTCATTGATTACATCTTTGGCAGAATTGCTGATACGACATTCTTTATGCAGCCTGATGGGAAGTCTTTTCTGTTATTGTGTTGTTGTTGTTGTTAGGCTGTGAGTGAACAGTGTTTAGTTCTGGTATCCTTTTGGATCTGGTTCAAAGGCAGTTATTAGAGTAGGGGGGAATCACTGACTGACTATTTAAATCTTGTATTTTCAAAGTACCTAGTGATTTATTAGCATTTAATCTGTCTAATACGAGAGCTTTGATTCTTTGAATGCTGATGTTTTATTTTCAATGTTGTCCTTGTTAAAAATGATCAGACTAGTCACTTACCATTGATGCGAGGTTTACCCAAAAGGATTCACGAGCGCTGAAATGACAAGTGAAAAGAAATCCTAATCAAAAGGTCAATAAACAGAAATAAACAACTATTTTGATAATGCTGAATTGTTATTGTAAAGTATAAATAGCAATGTACTTCACCCTCGTGCTTTTACAGTCTTCATAGACGATGCACTGAACATTTTAGCTATCTTTGGACAGTTAGCAAGACTGAGCAAGACATTCAGAGATAAGATTATTCAGTGATGGAAATAATCACTTGCTGCAGCCACACATTGGAGAACGGATCTAAAAAAATGCAATATTTGATAAGACGATTTGACAGCATATTCAGATTAGATCAGGCTATACCAAACCCCAGCTGTATTCCATAGTAGTACATCAATATTTTAAAAAATGTTTTCATCAAGCATCCCCCCCCTCCTCTATCCCTCTCTCTGAGCATCTCTCATGTTTACCAGTCAATGTTCTACTTTTGCTTTCCAACTCTTTGAAGGCGGATGGAGGGAGGGAGGGTTGGGTATGGTTACCATGGGGTAAGAGGCTTAAATCAAATACAGATTCATTTTAGCTTAAGCGTTCCATCTCTGCCTCTCCCCCCCCCGCTGTCTTCCTGTCTCTCTCTTTGTATTTTTGTGTTCCCCCTCTCTCCATACGGCCACCACTTGCCATGTTTCCGCCTGTCAATCTCTGCAGCAGCTGTTGCTACGTAGCTCGTTTTTCTATTTGACAACAATTAGACAAGGAGCCACATTTAGGCGGTCCACGAGATTTGCTTCCCGTCAAGATGACAACAATGATGTGGTTCCCGTCCAAGAGCAGCGAAATGTACTTTACGTCCCATGACTTCATCAATCCGAAAGCCAGACAAATCTACGTGAAATCATCCGCTCGCAGCAAACCGATGCATCATCTGCACCTCTGGTTCACAAGTGGCGTGATCTTCGCATTCGGATCCAACACAGACAACAGAGAGTTCTTCATTAGGCTAAACGCATGACTCATACGTGTGTGTGAGCTGGAGTGTTTCAGTGTGTGTGGGAGTGTGTCTCTCCTTCACCGGAGACTGATGGCGGGTTGAAAAGCCGGGGAAAACGATCTTGTTAATGAGTCAGTAGCAACCACATCAAATGTCCTTGGCTTTTAAAGATGATGTCACCGTGAAGCAGGTGCTCATGGTTAAAAGGCAGCTTAATTACAGCACAGACCCCGCAGCACACCCCCACTTTTCGCATCCGAATCTATTTTAATATTGTTATTAGTGTCATTTGAATTTCCTCTCGGGTTCCTATTTTTGTCTCGTTTCATTCTTTGATGACAGCTATTTGCACATATATGCGATTTTGTAAGTATTGGCTGTATATTCCTTTGATGGGATTACAGTCATTTAAGAATAGCTGCGAAGTGTCTGGATCATAGACTGGATTGAGAGTGCGGCTAACATTTACATCCATCATGAATTAGTCTGCTCACATTTCTGTAAATGCAACCATCATTGTTGTGTTTTATTGCTTAAGACTGTGGCTTAAACGTCGCAGGCCTAAAAATGATTATTGTATAAAGCGCATTCGAAACAGTGTAGACGCCACAAAAGAAATAACTCTGGTCAAAGGAAATTGCGTGATCTCATATTTTCATATGAGAAAGGACACTTTGAATGTGTGAACATGCACACAGCAAACACAAAGACGACAGTGTGCAGGTTTGACGAATTCTCTTCTGGACGCGACAGCATCAGAGATGATGGGGAATAACTGTCAGAACAAATGTTGGCTGCAGAGATTGTTTGAATCTGAGAGGGGTGGGAAGAAAAAAAGCTCAGGCCACAGAGATGGGTGTTGCCGTTGCAGCAGCGTGACCAGCATCAGTGATGGCAATTTTGTGCTGACTTGTTCTTTTTTTTGTTGAGGTGGGATTCTTATTTTGCTCCGAACGTTACAGTTGTGATCAGTAATGTGTAGTGATGACGTTCTGTCTACTTCTGAAGCCTCAGTTTCGAATCCTAATTTAAAAAAACGACCACAAGCGGAGGCTAAATGGAAGTGACGTCACTGTATGGTGTGGGGTGAGCAGGGAGTGGTTAACCACATGGTACGACGGATGCTGTCAACACCGATGTCAACACTACAGTGGTGTCTGCATCTCACTGTCTGATATGGATTCTGAAATCAAAATGCTACAGAACATTTTTCTGTGATTCCATCATTCGAGTACAGGCCTTTGGGCTGCACATTAGTCTGTCTGCATTTTTCACCCACACACATTTCCTACACTTTGCAATTTAGGGGAAATGGGGCCACGCTCTCTTGTGACAAACAGATAAGCACAACAAAATGGAGGCGGGAAACACAGCACAATAGGTAACAATGGATGAAACTAGAAAAGAGATGAAGGATGAGATAAATGCAAATGAGAAGCTAATGAGTAAAGGGCCAATTCATGGAAATATATGAACTCAGGGATCTTTAGTAGAATTTAGCCTTGCTGGTTTTTTTAGGGTTTCATTTGCCCAGATGTGCACTTATACTAAAGGCTGCTCTTTGTAGAGTTATGAAGCTGATAATGTGTTCTGTGGATTGGCCAGATTAAAGGAGATATCACTGATTGAAGAGGGCCACTGAAGCAAACAAAGATTTTTATTTCTCCAGTGAACTCCTCCCATTTGAATTCAACATTTCTCCTTTCCCTGCTCCAGCATTCTCATCTTCCTCGCTCCTTGTTTATCTCAGCTCCTTTGTTTGCCTACTTGTCTGCTGCATCCCTCATTTTCACTAAACTATCATCCAAAAATCAAACATGGGGTTTTCCACTTGCGTGGCGGGGGGATAGCTGCCTTGGATACAGAGCTGCAGCGATGTGGTGTTTTTCCAGTGTCAATTACAAACGCCCACACACACCTACGCTCACAACCACAGCTTCCCCAAAGAGCTCAATTAATGAACTCCTTTTCTAAGGTCGGCTTAAGACACAATTTAGCTTATTTTGACAGATTGGGTATTAGTTTTTTTTGTGGTCACACTGACAGACCGTAGATGAAAATATGTCATTTTGTGTTTTATGATATAGTCGCAATTTCTGGCACCGGTTGTTACCTAGCAATGCTATAAACCCACCATTGTGCACTTTATAATAATAGGTTGCCTGCACATGGGTTATATAGACAAAAATAGTTGACTAGGGCAGGAAATAATAATGCCACAAGACTATTTAGTTTTACTTTAAAACAAAGATATGAACCAACAACTGGTGTTCTATCGATGGAGCCATGAAACACCACTGATGTATTATTGCATTTCTCAATTTGGTGGATGTCTTTGTCTTTTTATGTCTCAGGGTTTGAAATTTGAGCTGTTTGTAGTTGGGGGGAGTAACTCGACATAGTGATGCTTTTATCTTTGTGAGCATACCTTATCTTAACATTAAACGTCATTACTAAATGCCTAATTGAAACCTAATTCGAGCTTCATCCTTAAAACCAAACATCTCTATTCCGCTGTGTCAGAAAATGAAGAATGGCCAAAATGTCCTCATTTTCCACAAATACCCTCACCCACAAGGTCTAAAACTGTGGCCCTCACAAAGAGAATTGTAAAAAGCACACACACACACACACAACCAAGGTTATTTAAAGGGAAAAAAAAAAAGATCCAATATGGCCCTGAGCCCAGAACCTGTGCTGTTATGATCATGGCAGCTCATTTAGAAATATGAAATGTTAAAACCTTCCCAGGGGACATTTTCATTATTTACTTTTTATTCTGCTTGAGAGTGGACACACTTAACTTTTCTCAGTTTTGAATATGAAACTCCAGCCACAATAGCTTCAGTATGTATCAGTCTGAAGATGTGAAAGACTTAATTTTGTATTGCAGTTTACAATGACAAGTATGTTAAACAATTAAAGCCAGTTTGTCCAGTGTGATTGTTGGAAATCATCCACGTGATGATGTTAAGATGGAGCACACAAACTTATTATCTGATCAGGTTCACGGTGAGGTTCCACTGATGCCATTTAGACGGCTGAAGCAAAACCAAGTCGGTTGTTGGTGCGGTCGTACACGGAGTAGTACTCTCTGAGGAACACGTCTCCAAAGATCCACATGGGTTGGCCGTTAGAAGAGGGCAGGTAGGTGGGGGTGATGCCCACAGAGCAGGACTGGTATCCATTCTGGTTTTGCTGGGGGTAGAAGACCAGACACCTCAATGTGCATGCACACCGACAAATAGAAACTGTGGCATGTTGGTAAAGATGTAGACACATATGCATGCTAACTGTCAGCATACATGCAGTAATTTACCTGGGTGATATAAGCAGAAGGAGGCAGAGGGAAGGAAACACCGCTGATGACAAAGCTGAAAGTTGGCATGTTGTTGATCTGGCTGCAGTCCACCGTATACTGGGGATCAACAGAACAAGGACATACTGCTTGAGAGAGACTGAAACCAACTGATTGTCCAGTTTTGACATTGTTTCATCATATTTGTGCATCTCTATGTTTGATGTATTGGTGTTCTCGGAGACCTTGAGACTTTAAAATCAGAGTTTTGATCTATTTTAAGTACTAATAACGGTGGATTGAACTCTGCGTGTGGGAGTCCGTCTGCCCATTTGCTTTACCTCTCCATACTGGTTCTGCTGGGCTCCAATAGCCTGCATGATGCTACCCAGATACTGCTGTGGGGCCGTCAGCGTGGAGGTTCCAGTGTCCACAACGGACTGGCAGCCCTGCGAGCACCAGCCAGTCTCCTGCCCGTTAATCTGGAATCTGCATGTAAACATAGTTTTTTATTGCGTCATCTGGGGCACAAATTGTTGCTCATTTAATAACAAGAAGAAAACTACTTTGGATGAAATGTTTTAGAGCACAGACCCTTCCACGCCAATCTCCCAGTAGGTCTCAGAGGCGACAGGGGTCCAGTAGATCTGGCCCTGGAACAAACTGTTGTCCACCTCTCCAAAAGAGAGCACGCTACCCTGCTGTTCATTCCTGCACCATACGACAAACCAAAAAATTAGCTGCAAACTAAAATTATTACAGACATTGTCCAGTGCCAGTAATGTGGATATATGCCGAGGTGACCGGAAGTCTTGCATCAGAATGCCACGTTCAGACACATGTTTGACTCGATCGAAGTCTCGTGCCAGTTATACCTAGACAGGTAGAAAGCAAAGATGTCGGCATTCAGCAGGTTCTTGGCGATCATGTTGTCCATGACGGGTGTTTGTCCTCCAGCTGAGATGGATGGATAAGACAGGCCGAGGATGCCGTCAAACGGGGCCACCACAAAGTTCTCACCGGGCTCATTGGTGCTCAGACCGATTTCCTGGTTAGTGATTTCGATGCCGCCAACCTACAGAATCCAGAACGAAGCAGGGCGGTGAATAAATCATAGACTGATTTTAATGCAAGGCCATGATGCAACATGGCCATACCTTTGTGCACTGTAAGATGTAATTTACTGAGGTGATGCTGAAATCATCTAGTCCATCTCAATACATAAGACTCTGTTCAGACGAGTCTTCTTAAACTGTAAAAAGAAGGTGACAACTTTGATACTAGTACTAGCTTTTTACTTTAAGTCCTTATATTGTTTTTCGTTTGTTGGATGGCACATCACAAGCAAAATAAACAATCATGACTGAGTATTTCTGCCGTAAAGTCCACCGATGACTGAGCTCAGACAGTTTGTAAGGTTTGTAATCCTTTCAGCTTGCAGTGAGAGCTTTTCTGTATCCTTCTTCTTCTTCTTCTAAAACAGTTTTGAACACGTATGCATGAATTACTTTCCAGTGTGTAGCATGTTTGAGCTGTTGTGCTCAAACTGCCACGATTGGAGGATGGAGAAGCGGACGGGGACTTCATAAATCCTCACATTCTTAAAGTGGCGACAGTGTAGAGTCGCATCTGAGCCATTTTAAGGCAGAAAGGAATTATTTCTTTACTTTTTCTTAACATGTAATTGTGACACTCAGACATTTGTTCTTATTGGTTAAATCAATGACCAGAGAAGGATTTTAACTGATGTCGTTTTAGTAGATTTGACTCACGTTGACGTTGTCATATCCAAAGACTCCGTTGAGGCTTCCGGCTCCGTAGGGCAGGTAGAAGGACTGACGCCTTGCAGTGAAGGTGGAGGACTGCTGAGGATTGAACTTCTTGTGTGTGTCTACGAATGACATAGATGTGGATTACCTCCGGAGCCATCCTTATTGTGTGCAGAGCCTTTTGACATGCTGACATCTCATTTGATTGTAGAAGTCATGAGCTGAATTTTAACTACCACAGTAGCTTGGTGGCACGCCCGCAATCACACTGAAAATCTAAATCCCATGCATGTACAATGTCATTAATTTGTAATATCTTGGATCACAAACTGCAATCTCTGCATGCTTAGCCTATATCAGCTGTAAGTCCTCTGGGTTTTCTCATGCAAGTAATGATCTGAACAGAGTGACAGATGAGAGATTCGGTAGTGTGAAGCTTGTACTCACTGCAGGCCTGAGTGTTACAGTAGACAGAGTCCACCCACAGGTTGGCAGAGCCGGTGTCAAACAGCACCTGGAAGGACTGGGGGGGTGTTCCAACACTGATGGCTCCATAGTAGGTGGTCTGGGCATTGTTTGGAGATAAAGAAAGACAGGAATGAAAAGAGGAACATTTGCAAGTTACTTCTGTTATTAAGAATGTTGTGTGCAGCATCTAAAAACTGATTTCTTACATCAGCGTAGTTGTTGATGTACATGGATGCAGAAATGAGCTCATCGGGATGATACTTGAGACCTGGATCTTGGCGTGGCAGCACAATTCCTTTGTCTCTCAGGGCCTGGCGCATTGACTTATGCTTGTGCAGAGGGACTCTAAGGAAAGAAGATGCCAAAAATAAAGTCAAAACTCCAAATGTTATAGATTTTCCACGTACATGTCCTCTTACCTGACTCCCTCAGCCAGCGCCATGCAGATCAGAACAGCAACGAGACACTTCATGATCCCACCTCGGTACAACACAACTCCTGGATGGATGCGAGTCGGCTTGAAAACCCAACAGGCTTTATATGCGCGTGTTACGCCCATATCAGTCTGGCTGTTATCAAAAACTCAGCCGTATCAGTTCAGACAGGGTGACATTCAAAGTTTTTTTTTTTCTGAGAAGCTGCATACTTCACGATGTCAACAGTCAGCGGGTATTCAGTACACAGCACCTCCTGTGATAGCGGCGCTCTACAAACGCAGCCAAAAACCGTAAACACATCATAGTAACCCTGAATAAATGAAGGTATTTCTCCTATTTAGAGTACTTTCAGAATACAACTCAGTACAAATACATTAGAATGAACTGTCCTTTTTTAAAAAATTAATAAAGCAAAATAATACATCTGCTCTTCCTGATGTCGAGTTTTGGCTTTGAATTTATTTAAAGTACGTTTTTGAAATAAGATCTCTTTGTTGTTTTCCCCCCAAAAAAATCATCTGCACGAATCCTCAAGATGCAGTTTTATTACAATTTTTATCCGATTAGATAAACACAAGGTCAAGCTTAATAGTGCGACTGCGATTTTCCGCAAATGGAAAGCGAACGTGTTATATCTATCCCTCAGTATCAGTGGTGCCTTAACCAAACTTGTTTATCAAAACCTTTCATCTTGTTCAGCTTATCATAGTATTGTGCAAAGTACATATTTTGGTTGAGTCCTTGCATTTAAAACATCCCATAAACTGTACGGCTGTAAGAATATTCAATTAAAATTTCATGACTTTTAGCTGATTTTATCACTGTACAACATTCACTTCACAGTTCCCTATAGCATCCACAACCCCAATAACCTCTTTACCCTTTCTGTCTGCCATCATTATCTTCTTTTTCCCTTTTTTTTTTTTTTTCAGGCAGTGTACATTGAAGCAGACCGGTAGCTTGGGGGCACTCTGATTACAGTGACTTTTTCATAACCCCTTTTGTTTTAATTTTAGATGCATCAGCATGTCCTCATTTGTTCCATGCGACCAGTGACATTGTGTAGACAGGACCCCTATATGACTGTGTGATGTAAGCTGGAATCCATACGTAATATGTCGAGTGCCCTTTTCTTAGCAGGAAAGCTGCAATGCAGCACTTCCTTAAACACATCGCAAGCCAACTGCTGTAGAAGCGGGAGCGTGCTGAAATTAATGGAGCAAAGATGAGATAGAGCGTAATCAAGAAAACTTGCAGTGCCATGCCTCATTACAGAGACGTAGACATTTCCCTGCTGGTGAGTGCTGGGTGCTGTAAATGAAAGTTCAGAAACTCTGGTGGAAGAGGCCAGTAATTCACTTCCAACTCTTTTTTACAACAGCCGCAGCTCACATACAGACAATAAAATTCATCTAACTGAGTTTGAAATATTGGCATTTAATGTCAGTGCTTTATTGTTGCTGCGAATATTCAGCTGAATCAGTGGAATGTGTTGTGAGTGTGCAATATTATAACAGAGACAGAGAAGATGACGGGCGTTTGTGTGGCTGCCTGTGTCCAGTATACGAGACTGAGACCCAGACGGAGCCTGACAGCACATGACTTAGAGCTGGTTTCCCCTCAAACAGGGTTCAGCGCGTGGACATAAATCAAAGAGAAATTCCCTTCTGGAGCGTTCACTGATGAAAGAGGCATATTGCAGTTATCCGTTTTCTGCAACATGTATTGAAACACACTGTCTCTCATGTATTCCCAGACCAGCCCATGACATCAGCCTGGAGGAGTTTGATGATGAGGACCTCTCTGAAATCACAGATGACTGTGGGATTGGACTCAACTACGACTCTGATCCGTATGAGAAGGTAAGGCTCTGTTTTTATGTTGTTCCACTTTGCGTTGCGTGTGCGATATGCAAACACAATGTGGGGATGCATTGGATCTGCAGTCATGTAAAGCAGTTCTACATGTTGAACAGAGCAATGTTTGCAGTTCTTCTCTGACATACACACCTTATGTATATGCGGCTGTTTGGTAAATATTATTTGTAATGATTCAGTAGACAAATCTGTCCATCTGTTGTTGCTCCTCTGCGGTTGCTATGAGTGACTGTTTATCATCGTGGATTAATGGAGCCCTGAAACAAATACCAGCAGAAACATAGCAAACGCAGTGATGTGAAAAATATAAATTTGAGAAACAAAGGTGCAGACTGACCTGCTTTTTTATTGCTGTTTAGTGCTGGGAACTTCCTATTTGCATATTGTTGCCTTATGTAAGCGTTTTCTGTAGCTTTGGGGTTTCATCTATAGGCTGCCCAGCTCACCAGCATTGCAGTCATTACAGTAATAACTGTACGCCTCAGATGTCAATGCATTAATACCACGGAGGAAAATGAGCTTTGTTTAACCAGAAGAGTGAGTTGCTGTCCGTCATCATACAAACCATCATCATGTATCATACATCCTGAATCTGAGTAACCAGCTGGCACCCATTCACTGAACTACTCACCATCATAGAAACTCTAAGCAGCACTTCCAGCGAAGATCGTATTCGAGTGACTGTGTTATGAAGTATACGCAAATAATTGAGTCATTAGCTGTATCATCCCACATCTCTGACCGGCTTAGGCTTTAATTACACAATTTCTAAGAACTATTATCTTACACCACCCTCGCTCTACTTCTCCCCGTCCATCCTGTGGAATGTAAATGTTTTATGCTGGTGGCATTGAGCCATGGCTGCAGCAGAGGGTGGGTGACCCAATGCAGTTTGCTGCTATGCAGAGACAACCTCCTTTCCTCTCTTCCCTCCCACCCTGCCTTCCCTCCTCTCCTCTCCTCCCTCCCTCCCTCCCAAGTGTCTTCCCTTCCCTCCCTATGCAGAGTGTTGCTTAGAGACGGAGCTCACATTCCCTCCTCGCTCTCCGCCACCCCTCCACTCCTTTCCCCCTGCTTCACTTTCTCCCTTTACATTCTCCTTCTTTCTTTCTCTCTCTCTTCTCTGCCGAGGTGCCTGGGAACGAGGATTTAGCTCAGGGATGGTTGGTTCTGAGGGGTTAAGCTCTTGGCATAAATCTGTGCTAGATATTTTCCTTCCTCCACTTTAATCCACCAACAAAACACATTATGGAGAGCTAGCAAAGCCCCTCTGTAACGGAGCTGTTTTTCAAATAGCATGCGAGAAGACCTCCAGAAGAGGAGAGAATTCAGAACGTGGATTTATTTTTCGTACACCAGGGTTGTCGTACAGCAGTAAACCCTGCATCGGTCCCCTCTTCCCACCCCGCCCCCCCTGCTTTCTCTTGAGTGTTTAACCAGATACACATCAGCAGAAACCCTGACTGCTCACTTCACAAACAAGAAAGCACAGGCCAGAGACAGTGTCGGTCCTTGTTACGTTACATCATTGCCCAGAGGAAGTAATCTTGCTGACATGGGATGGACAGGACACACACCCGGGTGCCCTCTGAGTGTGTGCTCCTTTAAATAACAGAGAAAGAAAGGCGAGACAGACAATTTCATGCACAGGGTACTTCACATGATATTTGATTTTGCCTGCATCAGTAGGGTGCGTGACACTTTGTCAGCTCATCAGCAGCAGCAGCAGCAGCAGCCTCTCGCTGCTGCACCGCACTCTGCTGATGAAGAGAGAAGCTTGTGGTTTTCATGTCAGTATGATTCGGTCATACTGGGCAGCACGTCTTTGATGTTGAGAAAGAACAGCCCATCTAAACAGTGAGATTATCCTCCAGCCCCAATCCCCAGCTCTGATTAATTCTAATTCGTTATGGGGTTCAGGTCTTAATCTGCATAACCCTTTAGATTAGTACTTTGTGACAGGGGCACACATATACATGTGAACGAAACAAACAGACACACATGATGTGTTAAAGTAGCTCGTTCGGTCATGTGGAGCTGAAGGCAGGCAATTAAAGATCAGTGTCTGATTTCACGGAGGAAATGGCGATCAAATGTCAAAATGCTGCCCTTCTGCCCCAGGCTCTCAGTCTATACTGCATGTCACAAGGGATTAGCTTCATCATATGTTTTCAAGCATGTGATTAGTTTCTTTCCATGACCTTTCATTTTTTTAATTTAGTTTTTTTTTAACACAGCATATCAACATAACAAGCAGACAGCATAGGGTACCTCTCCCCTTTTTGTCTCTTCCACACACACCCTCAGCCTCCTGATCCTTCACTTCCTGTTTCTCTAATAACCATGCCTGTATCTCCTGAGCCCCCGATTGAACGGCAGGAGCGCATGCATAATTCAGTATGTGACAGAGCAATGGTGTCTGTGTCTCAGCTGTGGTGCTACTCCGAGTTTGAAACGTGGAAATTTACAGATACACTGATGGATGGAGGCCATCGCTCACTAGGTGGTGTCTGGGAGGCTAATGGGAGGCTAATCGACATCTGTCATACATGCCAGCATAAAAGTCAGATTATGAGCTGCGTTTCGTAAAGGGGCTTTGCTTCGGCAGATGTGCACCCACACACAGACGCAATTTATGATTTAATAAGAAAATAACAAAAAAAATATAGATGTTGTCGTCTATTCTTTGATGCTTGTGCACTATAGTTGAAGTGAATGAGACCAATGGCTTTGTATACACTTCAGGTAAATATGAATTTATGCACTAGTACGACCATAATCAAATCAAACAACAGGCTGACACATGATCTCAGCCCTGGAATAAAGGATCAGATAAGCCCTGCACATCTGCAGTAATTGTCCAGCATTGCATTTAGAGTCAATAAGCTGTTCTGTATCAGTTCCTCCCCCCCAGGTGCTTAGTGTTTTCACCAGACCCTTCCTGTTTTCTGTTCACCCGCCTCCGTATAGATCTTAAAAGATCACTTAATTGTCAGCGTCCACTTTTCTTCTCTGAGATTTATGAGTCCCTGGCGTCCTCTTCATTTGCAAAGCCATGCAGCCGGTGTTCGCTTTAGGATCATGTCCTCAGTTTCTCTAATGCTTTTCTGTTAGCTTGGTCAGCCCAGCAGGTAAGAACCACCCAGAGCCTCTTTTCTTCCAGCTGGTGGGGGTTGTGTTGTGTGTTGGAGCTGGCGTCCATTGGAGCTGATCTTCTGATGTGCAGCA